GCTTATATATATATATATATATATATATATATATATATATATATATATATATAAGCAACTTTTTTTTTCTTTGTTATCGATAAACTTGAAAACTACTGGACCGATCGGCATGAGACCATGACCATTCGACGCGGAATTAATTGTAGAAGGTTTTAGGCTATTCATTTTTTGAATTCCATCAACCCTTTACCATTTTTTTTCAAATTTATGTGGATAGTCATTTGTTTCTGCTACGAAAACAAATAAACATTACTTCTTCTTCATATTCGAGCGCACCAAGACCGGCAAAATGTTTAACGTCACTTCAATGCTTATAAACGCGTTTCCACACACCCTGATTAAAAAAAAGTATTGAAAAAGTATTGAATTACACACATTGTATATCTGTATATACATACAATATAGATATACAGTTGCATAGGTTCAATACTTTTTTTTAATCAGGGCACCCTCCCACGCATTCACCCACGCACTTCCACACATCCACCCACGCACTCCCACGCATCTACCCACGCATCCACAAGGTTGTGACATGAATTATTAGACCGTTGTCTATAGCAACGGTTTTGTTAATTCATTTCTAGGTTATGTAAATATGGCATTCATTTATGCTACTATTTTTTGTTCAAAAATTATTCATCTTTCAAAGGTTATGTAAAGATATCATTTATTTACGCTATCTTTTGTTTCAAAATAAAAAAGATTCTGTGTGTCATTCAATCGATTGTGTTTTGTTTAGTATTTATTGGTTATGATACGTTTAGTATTTGTTAGTTAGTTGAATAAAGAATAGGGTCTCCAACTTATAAAAGTTAGTATAATTAATATATTCACGTTGATTATATACTTTATTTTAATCTATATATATAAGAGATTTGCATCTATATATTGACTCCTCACCATATCTCTGGAACTATAAGACCTAGAGACTCGAAATTTGGTAGGAATATTCCTTTCACTGGGTAGAGGTCAGCTAAGAACGGATTTTACGAAATTCCACCCACAAGGGGGGTGCGGGGGCATTAACAACGAAAAATTCCCGTTTTTAATCTATAGCTCCTATCGACTACAAATTTGGAAGGAATCTTCCGTAAGAGATGTAGAAATAATCTATAAGCAAATATTACGATATCTCACTCCAGAGAGGGTTGCGGGGGTGGGTACTAACAATAAAAATTTCTAATTTTCAAGCTATAGCTCCTACAGACTCTTAATTTTGTAGGAATTTTCTATAAGTGATGTAAAAATAATTTATAAACGAATTTTAGGATCTCACCCCACAGAGGGTTGCGGGGGTGGGTATTAACAATGAAAATTTTTAATTTTCAATCTATAGCTCCTACAGACTCCAATTGGGTAGGAATTTTCGCTAAGAGATGCAGAAATAAAACACGAACGAATTCTAAGATACCTCACAGGAGTTTGCGGGGGTGGGTGTTAACAATTAAAATTTTTATTTCCAAGCTATAGCTCCTATAAACTTTAAATTTAGTAGAGGTCTCCTGTATGTGATATAAAAATGATCTAATAATGGGTTTTACAACGAATCAACTCCAATAATGATCGTGGGGGTGAGTATTAACAATAAAAAATCTTAATTTCCAAAATATAGCTTCTAAAAACACTAAATTTGATAGAAATTTTTTATCTCTTATGTAGAGATCACCTCAAAATGGATTTCAATAAATTTCACTTCCGATAGGAATTGCGGAGGTGGGTGTTAAAATCTAAATTTTCATTTCAAAACTGTAACTTTTACAGACTCCGAATTCGGCGAGAATCTTCGTGTATAATGTCCAGTTCAGCTAAGGGATTACGAGGGCGTTGATAATTAAAATTTGCCGTTTGTAAAATATAGCTCTTATAGACCTCAAATTTGGTAAAAATCTTCTACATGTGGTGTAGAAATAATCTGAGAGCGGATTTTACGACGAATCACCCCCAATAAGAATTGTGAGGGTAGGTGTTGCCAAAAAAAAATCTTAATTTCTAAAATATAGCTTCTAAAAGCTGTAAATTTGGTAGGAATCTTTTATTTGTCATGTAGAGATCATCTCAAAACGGATTCCGAAAAATTCTACTTCCGATAGGGATTGCGGGGGTGGGTATTAAAATCTAAAATTTTAATTTCCAAACTGTAACTGCTGCAGATTCTGAATTTGGTAGGAATCTTCGTGTACGATGTCAAGTTTAGCTGAAAATGAATTTTCTCGAATTCTAACCCCAAAAGGGATTGTAAGGGCATTAGCAATGAAAATTTCTCATTTTTAATCGATAGTTTTATAGACTCGAAGTTTTGTTGGAATCTTTTATTTATAATGTAGAAATAATCTCGAATAGGATCTGACGAAGTTCCTCACCCAAATAGGAGTGCGGGAGTGATAATTGTCAAAAAATTCATATTCTTCAAATACAGTCCCTACAAATATAAAATTTGATAGAATCTCAAGAGAAACAGACGAATATCGGGATGGCCTCCAAGGTCAACGGATTTAAATATTTCTCTTACTTAATAGTGATATTTTCTTACAACAATCGTCTCTTTGGCAGCGGCAAAAAAGTCATTGTAACGTTTCCAAAATTTAACATTACATATAGCTATTCAGTCAACGGACTAAGAATTTTACATATATTTTATCACATAACCGATGAATTGTTCTTATTACGGGATCGCGAAAATGTAACAGATTAAAAGCATTGCATTTACTAAACACATATGAGATATAGAAAAGAAATTTGAGATGTAGGAAATATGAAAAAAATAAATAAAAATGAAACATAAAATTTAATTTCTTTCTTTTTCAATTCGCCCAGCGAAGCGGGCGGGAACCACTAGTGAAGTATAAAATCACAATCTAACGCTTCTGTTTTTGAATTAGAATAAAAAAATTAAAGATTAATTATTGTTTAAAAAATTAAAAATAAATATTTTTAATAGTATTTATTGATAAAATATTTAAAATTTTATTAAAATTTTTTTTTTTATTATAAATTCATTCAAAATTTTTTTTTACTTAATAGTTTTATTTTTTATAAAATCACATTTTATACTTTTATTAAATTAATTTATTTTTTTTTTATGCTTACCTCTAAGGTCACTTGATTCGCAGAAACACAAAGTAAAAATATTTGCGACAGCATACTCCCAATATAAAAAATATTCGAGACAAACTCTATTGTCATTACATCCATGTCTGACATGCGATAAATACTCGTGCAAAAAATCACTGATCCGACAGAATATTGAACAAAAATTACAGTGGAAAATACTTTGCTGATATCGTCGAATAATCTAAAAAAAATTTTAACAATATTTAATACAGAATTAATAAAAATAATAATTACATTATTCAATTACTCGAAAATAGAAATGTGATGTCTGACGCATTCGCTGAATACACAATTAACTTTTCTGTGGTCGACTTCGTGATTTTTGTTAATTTTTTCATAATAATTTTCCATTTCCAGAGAATCCAGCATTACTTTGAAGCGATGCTTGAATATATTCACCTGGGCGCAAACGAGGAACATCACTCCAGGGAAAAATGTATCGTACGCTGCGTTGACCGCTCCGGCGATGATCATCGTCAGCGCTTGCTGGCCAGCGGATAAGGAATACAATAATGGATGGGAGTAATTATAAGGAAACCATCCTCTATACGGGAGCATCTTTTTTGGTCCATTTTCCAGCATTTTTCCAAGTACAAACAACGTTACTCCCACTCCAGTCATTGTTGAGTAACAAAATGTAATAAATCTTATTTTATTCAATTAATTAAATTTTTTATTTTATTTTATTGAAATAGAAAAAAAAATATCAAAGCTGTAGCTAAATAAGACACTACTTTTTATTCAAAAAATTAAGTATTTAATTTTTTTTAATTAAAACAAAAATTATTAATTTGAAAAAAAATCACTAATAATTAAAACTAGCAACCTTGCAGTCACTATGTGACTGCCGTGACTTGTGAAATATTAATAAATCAAATTTTGTTTTATTAAATAATTACTTTTGTTAAATTGTACTGTACTTTTTTAACTATTGACGTTTGTGAAGGTATAAGCTCATCCCGATGTTACACTCATCAAGAGCTTTTATTTGAGTACCCACATACATTTTTCATATATTTATATATATATATTATATATATGTATATATGAAAAATATATCAAAAATGCATGTGGATACTCAAATGAAAGCTCTTGATGAGTGTAACATCGAGATGAG